AAGAGATCGACGCACCCCAGAGTTCATTATTCTCTCGAGCAGGCTCGACAAAAAGCCATCACTAGCAACCCGGCACCTCCTTCGCCTGCCGCCCGTCTCTCGTCTCCGGGCAGCAGGGATCCTGACGGAAAAATCCGTTTCATCGAACCCAGAGTAGTCGTCCTTAAGTCGAAAGAAAAATAATTTCATTATCCCAGGAGCGAGTGTACGGTCTCACAGGCACGGATTTAGCAAACGTTCTCTCCGCTCTCTCTCCGTGACATTCGTATTACCCGCGGAACGGAATGATCGTCCACTTCGCCTTTAGATTTTTGATACGAAGGGGACACTTTGATTCGTGGGTCGCGATGAGATCGCGACGAAGGACGGAGAAAGGTCCTTGCCCGGATCTTTGGTCACGTACGATCGATCAGCGTGGCGATTGCAGCCCTGGAGCCCCCAAGAGAACTCCGGGGTTGGTACCCTCGCTCCTGCATTCTGCATTCAGTGCATTCCCCCTGCGTTCAATGCACGCTGCAGACGATATCTAGATGGCTGCTCGATGTCTGCCGCCACCGCCGCCGCCGCCGCCTCCGAGAGAAGAATCCGGCTTACGCTTATACGGTAGATGGTGGTAGTTATGTGCCATGCCGGTGCGCTTCGGGGGCTCTCCAGTGAAGATCGAGAGAAGATGGAGGCCGTAAATAACGGTCTATAGTTCTCGAAGGGGAGGTTGGGTCTCCTCGTTGAAAAGCTATCTTTGGCGTTAACCCTTTTGCAAGAGCGCTAGGTGTGATTCTTTTCAGAATCTTTGGAAAGAGCACCAGGTGTTTTTCACGATAGGAATGGCAATCTGTATACGTCGAGATAGAAAAACAGAGGAAGAGTGATAGATCGATGACATTAGAATGATGAAAGAGAATCGATCAAAGATTGCATTATTAATAGCATATTTTGTAGATTATTGAAATTGGGATATAAAAAATTTAATTTTTTCTTGGTTTTTTTTATGTAAGGGATTCACATGAATGAAGAAAAAAAAATTTCTAACAATTTGCATGTAATTTGCATCTCACTCCATCAAATTAATTTTGCAAAATGGTTTTTTTAAAAATATTAAAATTCTCAATATTATATTCAATCTTGTTATGAATAAATAAGAAATTTATTAAAATTTTATTATAATTAATAAAAATTCTTAAATATAGTGATACTCTTTCCTAACAAATAAATATAAAGAAAGAGATAAATATAAATATATATAAATAAATATGTAGAGACAAGTAGAATAAAATGTACAATAAAGCAATACTTTATTTTTCAAATTCGCGAAAACCAGATTGGATGCGTCCGAGAACGAAACCCTCGATTACTCAAAGTGGTTCAACGACTCGGCACGGCGCGTCCTAACGATCTCTTAACGCGGGCAGCCATTATCTGGAGCACATCGATCACCGCGATTAATTCTATTGAGCACTACAATCTTACCTGCAGGTGATCGGTAGTGGCGGTCTGCGTTGGAATTTCGAAACGATCGGTTGTCTTCTCCCCACCTCTCTTCTCTATTTCGCTTTGCAATATTTTTTTACTTCGCCATCCCTCTCCTCGCTTCTACTCGATAGGACGACCAGGTTTAGGCAAGGTTATCAGCCGCATTAGACGAGACGACGAACTCTCATGCTCTGTTCTTCCTCTTTTCTGCCGCGTCAAATCAGACTACTTGTTTCAGCGCGAATAGGTACCCTCGTTTCCCTTTCCTTGTTCGTATAACACAAAAATCCGAAAATCGATTTCCATCACATTAGAAAATAATTACAAGCAAGATTTAAAAAAATATCGATGAAAATTTTACAAGACTGATGTTTACAAATTTTCAAGTTCCTCATATACAGGGTGTCCGAAAAATCGCCTGTCACACTTCGGGAGGTGATTCGGGAAAAAAGAAGAAAAAAATGTTATCTACATAGGTCCGGAAATAAGTCGTTTCCGAGTTATAACCACTTTTATGTTAAAAAAATCATAATTTGTAGTCCGCTTCTTTCTTTCTTAAGTTTTTCTTAAATTAAAAATTTTTATTTGTTAATTTTTATTTATTATTTTTATTTTTTAATTTTTTTCAATTTTTATTTTTTTTTCAATTTTAATTAAAAAATTTTTTTTTTTTTCAATTTTCCAGTATTTGTAAATACACGATTACATTATTTTTAAAGCATAAACATAAACAGATATTTAAATCGAATTAAATAAGGTGTTCAAAAGGATCACCTTCAGCACGAATGCAGGCCATTATTCTTCTATCAAAGGAATTCCGAACTCTTTGAAGAACATTTGGATCTCTTCTGAATGTAATCGTGTATTTAAAAATACTGGAAAATTGCAAAAAAAAACTAAAAAAATAAAATTGAAAAAAATTAAAAAATAAAAATTGAAAATTAAATAAATATAATAAATAAAAATAAAAAAATAAAAATGTTTAGTTAGTTTTGACATGGAATTTCCTGTATTTCGACACTGAATAGATCGTGTCTTTTGAATAATCCTTCTGATCCGGATAATCCTACCAGCATTTTTGACCGATTTGGCACGCCGGGAAAATGAACAAGAGGCGGGGAAAGAAGCAATATGCAAATATGCAGATTTAACGTCGCGAGTGACCTTTGTCGGTCGTTGCACGTCCCGAGAGATGGCTCGGATGCGTTTGTACTCGGTTCCGCGATCGGCGATGCATACCAGAACCGGCGCAACGCAAGGGGGGCTTTGGGAGAGAGGCGAGAAAAGTTGCGCGGGGGCTCTCATTAACGTGATCGTTTGCTTTATCCGAGGTCCGAGCAGGAGCCGATTAAAAAGCTGACGCCCGCCCTTCATTCGCTTCCTCTCTCCGATCGCATTTAACTGTAGAATCGAGTTATCGATCGTGAATTTTGGATCCTTATTAACCTAAGAAATGTCTGACATGAGAGTCCTTTCGCTAGAGCATCTTAAGAATTCATTTTTAAAGTGAAGACGATCTCTTCTTTTCATCAGGAATAAATTATAAAAATTTTTTACTTTTCGGGTGATATTTTTGCTACATGCAATTTATCATCGTTCAAAAAAGTGAAATGAGGTGATTATTATTCAGTTTGATTCTCGCATACAAAATTAATTATAAGAATAAGCTCAAGAGGACTTATCGATGCGTAAGTGCGTGTCTCCAAAGTGATGAAAATCGTCGAGAGCGATTGGGATAATTGCGGCGGTGCGGAAGAGGCAATCGCTAGGATTGAAGATCATCAGTATCAGCCTCACGTTTCCCAAAGCGTGCAAATCGTAGCCGAAGCCGTGCACTTGATCACCGGCAACGTGCACAGCCGATCACGTTTCGGCCTGTTCCTTTATGCGTATGTGTCTGTCTTCTTCTTCGTCACCTTCTCCCGCGGCTCTTCCCTTCGACTCCTCTTCCTCCGCAATCCATTTTATGGCGGAGGGAAAGTGGCGCGCCTATCATGCGGTCCATTCCTCTCGCAATATCCCCGCGAAACGAGATGCGACGAGACGCGCGATATGCTCGCAAATGCGTAATTTACGCACAAATTCTGCACGCGCCACGCGTAAAACCATCACGCGAGTTCATTTGAACATTCATCGATCTTCCTCAAAGTTTGAGCTCATTTAAAAATGATCTATAATATCGCGCGTCAAATGGAAGAGTCACTATTAAATGTAAGTCCAATTTTTCCCAAACTGCGATTAAAAGAGAGATAAAGGAATTATATTTATTTTTGCACATAATAGTTCAGTTTTTATTCGATGTCATTATACGAATTTTGTTTAGAAAGTAAATTATATTTATATATATTTCCATATTACTGTTTTGTAAGAGAATTTATTACTGATATATCGAAATTATATTTTTTTCGATTAAAGTTTTTTATTCTCGCAATAATCGATAGCTCGTCCGCTTGTTTCTCAATCAAAACTAGGTAAATGTCTTCTGTTTTCTGATAAACGTAATATGAAAAAAAGATTCGGCATTATCGCGATCGCGAATGAATACAAACCGACGACCCGATTTTATGATTGCGCGCGCGAAGAGAAAATCAGATTCCTGCTCTGATGCAGCGTTCTTTTAAGTCGTTTTGACCACGTTAACAGTTATGGAAAAAACATTTTGATAATAAAAAATTTGGATAATGATAAATATAAAATATACAAATAAAATACATATAAATGTATACAATAAAAAAAATACATACACGCCCATATAAATACAAATATTATATATGAATTACATTAATTATAATTGAAAAGATATATTAATTACATCAATTATAATTGAAAAGATATATGAATTACATTAACTACAATTGAAAAGAACTGATTGCAAAGTGTAAATTAAATTTACACGTGAAAAATGTCATCCAAGACACGTTATATTATATTGAAATTTAATTATAATATTTTTCCAGAATTAAATATCTCTCAAATAGAAAATTATTTAAATATATTATTATTATTTAAATATAATATTTAAATATATTAAATATATTATTTAAATATATAAAATTTTATATTGCATACTTTTGTTCCTTTATATACTTTTTAACAATTATTATATAATTTTGAGAATAAAATAAATCGATAATTATACACACATTTTGATTACTAATTTGATATAATGTAGAATTTTTCTTATTCCTTCTCTCTTATACAATCTCCAGGTGTCGGTACAAAAAGTAGAAACATTTCTCACCGACGAAACGTCTTTCAAAGTAGCTTTCCAAGAGGTCAAAGGGCACTTTGGCAATTGAAACTTCTCTACCGAATCTTCTTCAAGCGGGCAGTAGGTCACGATAAAGAAAAAAATGTTGAGCTCTCCTTGTTTTCATTTTTTCGGTTTAAATCGAGCGCTCGGGCACGTACCATATAAATTGAATTCGGCCCAGAGAGACGCGATCGATGTATAAACTCGCACGTGATTGGCGAAGGCGAGCGATAGCTCGCACGTGAGCAGAGGTGAGTGCACACAGGATACTCGTAAGGTGAGCCAAGAAGGTCAGTCGTGTGTGTAAGGGCAACGGGTCGTTGGTATTCTGAGGCGTGCATGTGTTTATGCACAGAGATATATTATAGGAATATACATTTATAATATTCTCTCGTGATCTCATAAACGCCACTCACAAGGAACTGGTTAGTTATTATATATATATATATATATATATATATATATATATATATATATATATGACTCGTTTATTTATTCATTACAAATATAATAAATGTACAAAGAATGCGATTTTTAATTGCATCTAGATTCATTCATTCTTATTCGCGAATTATTTTCAAGATGTTCTTTAATTAGTCGTAAATTGTGTATGTGTGCGTGCGCGAACATCTCTGTAAATTATAAAGTGGACGGCTTAGTTCATAAAAGCCAAACCAGAAGACCTGTTAAGTCAGGTAGATATACGTAACTCTTTTTATCCGGCTAGTCCGTCGAAAAGGGTCCTTCTGCGCGAAGAAATTCCTTTTCACATAGGCGCCGCATGCAGATATTTTATGTGTCCCATAAATTAATCTTTATTCTTGCTGCATCATGCATTTAATAATCTAAACAAAACAATCTTTTTTTTTTAAATAATTTGATAGAGATTGTCTCTTTTTTCTTTTCTTATTATATTATATCAAAAATATTATAAACATATATTGTAAGCACACACATGTAAAAAAAGTATTTCAATTTATATATTTTACAAAATATTTTACAGCTTTTTAATTAGAATTAAAACGCTATATATATATATATATATATATATATATATATATATATATATAAAGCGTTATAATTCTAATATTAAATCTTGCTCGAGAGAATATAAATATGTATATATATATATATATATATATATATATATATATATATTCTATATATATATATTTCTTTCTCTCTCTCTCTCTCTCTCTCTCTCTCTATATATATATATATATATATATATATATATATATATATATATAAGATAAATGGCTATAACTTCGTCAGCGGATATAATTTCGTCAAGTCTTCTTAAAATTAAATAAATTAAGCAATCTCGCGTATATCGACTATATTTGAAACGAATGTTCAAATATCCATTTATCTTATATATATATACATTTACATTCTCTCGAGCAAGATTTAATATTTGTTAGAAAACGTAATAGTCTACTTTAATGTTATCGAATATCACAGATCAAATCTTTGCTGTCGCAGCAGTTGTCATTTGGTAGTCAAACGACTCGGGATCACTTTCGTCAAGTCTCGCAACGACACTTAGTTCGATACTAGCGTCGAAGCTACAACGTATATTTTTTCTTTACGGTAATTTTCTTTCATAGTTCGAATCTCTGCTTTTATTTTATTTTTCACATGTAAATATAAATATAAGAAATCATTTGTTCTATATATTTATTTATTTAAAATCGTATAACTTTTATTTTTAGTCGCAGATTCAGAATTTATAATTCCTGTGAAACCAGTTATAATATTATTCAAGAAAGGCATACTGCGGTTGCTATAGTTTCTGTAGTTTGTGTAAAAGTCCCGTGTTTGCAGATTTGGTAAGTTTTGTTCAATTCTCGTGTTTTCTGTATCTTTACACAACTAATGTCTTATATAACTAATACATAAAAGAATATCTTTGTTCTTTAAATCGTATATTTTATTCGAGAACGTAATTTTCGCGAAATATAAGATGAATTTTAATTAAAATCTCGAAAATTATTCATTACCAAAACTTTTGGTTGTATCCAAGACAATTTAAAGCGAGATTCATGCATGCGATTTAACAAATATCTAAAGTTATTTTGTAAAACTGATAAAATAAAAGAATAGATATTGATATTAACTGATTAATTAAGATAAAAGAAATATCAGATATTGATAACTGATTAAGATAAAAGAAATATCAGATAATTTTATATCAGATTAAACAAATATTTTTGGAGCATTTTAATAAATATTTAATAATAATCAATATTTATATCAAAATATAATAATAATCAATATTTATATCAAAATTATAAACAAAATGCCGCTGTTCATGATTAAAGATCTCTAGCGTTATGCGCGAAAAATTTATTTCACATTAGTCGATTAAAATACCGCAACAAATTGAATAAAAATACGAAATGTCATAGCTGCTAAACATTTGCGAGTCAAAGTGATGATGATTGTGAAAAAAAAAATCCTGCCGGCGATACGCCGTCGAAAGTAAGCTTCCTCGATCAGTCACCGGCACGTGTTTGACCACGTGTCGGCCTATATCGCGTAGTCGCAGCACGGAATCGTTCCTTGTCCTCCTCCGCGATTGCACGTGCGCGCGCGAGCTTGATAATGAGATGAGTTTACACATGCACGGTGCGCCGTAGGCGCAGAGAAAGGTGTTTATCATTCATTTCTGTCGTTCGCCATTCCTGGAAGCTGCAATCGCGTTCCCTCAATTAGAAGCGTTTACGATCACCGAGGAGGATCGCCTGTTACATACGCGCGAAAACACTTACGTGATTTATTACGTCCGTGTAACAGCACGTTTCTCGCCCAAGTTTCTAAACAGTTTGATTATAAAGTACCTTTTATCAACGTGCCTATCTACGCCGCCGTCTCATATAACAGCTACACATTTACATAAAAATCTTGCAACACGATAATTACAATATCTCGCTTTCGCCAAATTACTGTTATTCAACGATATCCTCTTTAATTTGCAGGTACCGCGGTATCGCTTCCCTTTCCACGTTAAACAATGATATCCCCCGTATATATCATCCTTGGCATTTCTTTTGTATTTTTTGTTTATTATATTTTTTATCGCAAAACCCTTCGACTTCCGCCGGGACCATCCGGCATCCCGGTACTCGGTTATTTGCCCTGGATAGATTCTGAACGTCCTTACGTGTCGCTGACAAATCTGGCGAGGAAGTACGGACCGATATGTGGACTACGGATGGGCTCGGTTTATACGATCTTGCTGTCGGATCCTCAGCTGGTAAGACAGGCCTTTGCGAAGGATGTGTTTGCCGGTAGGGCTCCGCTCTATTTAACGCATGGAATAATGCAGGGACACGGTGAGTAATCCTTTCTTTATTCTTATTAAATAAAATTATTAAATAAAATTATTAAATAAAGTTATTAAATAAAATTAAATCTAATATCCCAGACAGCACATCCTTAAGAGATGTCTGAAAAGCGATTTGAAGACGTTTTAACGTCCTTTAGATATCTTGAAGATCTTTTTGTGATGTCTAGGATAGGCACATATATTTTCTGTAGTTTAAATTAAATAAAAATAGATCTTTATAATATAATAAGATCTTTATAATATAATTATATAATTAATATAATATAATAAATTTATAACGGGATAGTAAAGTATACCTGTCACTTTAAAATAAAAGAAATAATTTAATTGGAGGATCAGAAGGAGGAGGAGAGAGAAAACTTACTACTTTAATTATTAAATATTTATGTCATTTTTTATATGGCATTCCAATTGCAATTCATTATTCCTTGAGGATGAATGAAATTCAAGTATAATTTAATGATAGTAGACGCGCTTAAGAATCTAAAATATTCTTCCAGACGGCTGTTAACCGCGTTTGATCCGGGCAATCTAACTAATAATTTGAATAATCCTTGAAAGTACACCATTCTGTCATACATACAGTACCATATTGTATGACACATGGCGAGTGCGAGTCGGGAAACTCACGTGCGCGCGATCACGACTTGCCGGGAGAAGTGGTAACAATGGAGCGACCAGTCGCACAATGGAAGGGCCCCATCGGTCATTGTAGGACGTAACGGTTCCTCTAACGAACGAAGTTTCGAAGTTGGACCGACTAACCTACTAAACAGCTAAAAAATCTACCGACCGGTGGTGCCTTAGGATCCACAAAAAAAAAGCTGACGTCTCTCGGCCATGCCGTAGATAGGAAACGAGGTCGGCCCGGCGTGGGTCGGAGGATTTAGAGAGCTTCCGGGTGACGTAAAGCCGCCGACCTACAAGCATTCTTCCGCGTTAATCCGACGTGTACGCGCAGTGAAAGTCTCTTTGAAGAGACCTCGCCCTCGAGTGTAAATGAGAAATGGATTTCTTTTGACGACACGTATTTACTCGCAATGTCATTCCAATAGCTCTTGAGATGTTTCCGAAAAATCTTTAGAATATACGCTCGAAAGTCGTGTCGTAAGAACCGCGTGTTTCATCTTCACCGAATTCTCTCCTCCTCTCTTTTACGATGACTTTTTACGCATGATATATTTATTGCATAGAACGCTTGAAATGAATATAAATGGGTGGCAAAACTCTTACGCTTAATTTAAAGATTATTATATTAAAAATTTTAATTTTATACAACGACATGAATATTAAAACCAGGTGTTGAAAAATTATGATAAGAATTTACGAAATATGACTTTAATATCACTCAACGCGTAAGAGCGATATGACCTAGGCTCACAAAATACATGTATTCGATTGTCGTGACGACGTGTCGAGATAAAAGCGCGAGGTGTGGACCGTCAAGGAGAATAGAATAGAGCTAGTCAGCCTGCCACACGGATGTCCCGTTCTCGCGATAACGAGGACTCTCTAGATCCAAGTGCCGTTACGATTTTCGATTTACGATCAACGTTACCGATTGCGGCGCCGACATTTGATAGCGGCTCTTCTGCATACGAGAGAGTTTCGTTCGTACCCCGTTATTTGACGTATATAGAGTGTGTATCGGACATAATATATGCGATAGATAAGCGTCGAACATGCTCGGTGCTCCATATATCATAGAAACGGAAAGATTTGCGATTAAGGACATTTTTTTAACTCAAAGTTTGCGCACGTAGGATCTCCGCAATTGACGATGGTCGTGCGGCTATCGCTAGTCCCTGATTTAACGCTACGCGGCTTTTGTTTCCAGATGAAAACAGGGTTACTCGAACGATCGTAAGTTTCGCCCGTCGACTGAAAATTCGCCGGCAAGGCCACAAATTCCGTCGTCGGCGACGGCGGAGCCCGGGCCGATCCGTGCGGGACGATAATTTCACGACAAAGTGTACCACGGCACCCGGTGGTACACCTTACACCTCGTTTCGAAAGCTCCCATCCTCTCGTTCGCGATCCCGACCGTCGTCGCGCGTCCCTCTCTTCCTCCCCGCCTTCCCTCCCCCTTTCCTCCTGCCCCTCCCGCGTCTCTTTTCCTCCTTATTTCTTTTTTTTTTTCGATTCCCAGTGCATGCACGCACGTGTGCGTGAGCCTTCGACGATGTTTACGAGGCGCCATGTCTCCAAAGTCAACGGCCCCGTGATTTCTCCATTCATTTCCTCCGTGCTATCATCGCCGATCTCTTTTACAAGCGCGCCGATTTAGCGAGTCGATAAATGCGTATGTATGAATCAAACCAATCTAATCGTTTGTTGAACATTTCAACTGTTATTTCATATACAATTGGGCTGCAATTTATAATTAGAGGACTTTGCTTATCCGATGCGAATTTTAAATGCAATCTTTTTTATATTGGCTTTATTAAATTAAGTGAGTCAATATATTTTAGGCTTGTACATTCAATTTAGCGATATAATTTAAATAAATATGAAATGATGTGAGAAATTATAAATTTTAGCATAGGTTTGCATAAATAAATGTTCGAATAATATTAAAATAGTGATATTAAAAGAAAACTCGATAAAAATCTCTTTCTATGATGCATCATAATGTATATCTCTTAAAGAAAATGATAACTTTTATAAGCTGAATATTTTCAATTTAAAAAAATTTATTTATCCTAATTTTCACGATGCGAAGAGATTGCATTTTTTCTTATGAGATGTGTGTCGCCTTTCAGGTTAAAAGTTTTACAAAATAAATTAGATAAATTACAAAGAAAGCAATATGCTAAAGAAAATGTAAATTCAAATCCAGAAATTAATGTAAAATAAATATGAATTTAAATTGTGCGGCCAATTTATAATGCACGATAAATTTAGCGTAGCCACATCCTTTGCACGTGCACCCTCGCGACATTGAAGCGCTTCTGACACCTTTCACGAGAGACTCTTGCGTCCGGAGAGCCTTCCTCCACTCCTTGTAGATGCCCCTCCAGAGCATTCAGGAAAGATCCTCCCGCCGCGTGAGTCTCCTTTCTTTCTCTCCACCGGAATAGGTTTGGTGGGGAAATCCTAGCCACGCCTCCATCAACAGGTACAGATCCCCAGGTACATATCTCGTGTGATACACGTGAAGTTTCGTTAAACTTAGATCAATCGCGAGCGTTCGGTTTCGAAGGAAAGGGAGGCTCTCTGAGGCGTCTAACGTTCGTTTCAAGTAGTGAGGACCGGGATTAGTCAGACGAGCGACCGTCACTGTAGACCGTTACTACTTGGGCTCACGAAAGTGCGCATCACGGCGCATTAAAGTCTCTAAATCGGAGCGTCCAAGGACGCGTTGTCACTTTTACAGTATTCCGATGAAATGCGACTAATGCAGCAAATTATTCCTCCCGCTATTATAGTTTCGATGGATAAAAATACATTTATCCTTTCCATAAAATAATTAGAATATTTAGTCAGCGAGAAAATATATAACTTTTTATCTATCCATTTAATTTATAAATATCTAATATTCGTTGCACCTCGAAAATTTACTGAAACAACAGCTTAGAATAAACTAAAAAATACTTATTTATAAAATATTTATTAAAAATTAATAAAAATTAACGAATTTATTTTTGTATTTTAAAATTTTAATTTGCAGAAACTTTCTTTAACTTTTATTGCTAAATATTCCTATAATTATGTCAGCAATAAATTATAATTATATAATAATTTTTATTCGTTAAAAAAAAATTGCTTTGGATTACCCATTTCCTTGATTGTCAGCGCGTGCTATTTTTCAATATTACGTCGGATAATCTCTTCAAAACGCTTGTCTGTTGTCCAATGTGAAATATCACGAGAGAAAAGCTATACACATAAATCGACGATGACGATGCGGCCGCTGTCTACATGAGAGATGAACACGGGGAAGAATATCGACTCGGGAGGCGCGTGCCTTCCAGCGCAACCCGTGATTATCCGACAGCGCGTTTACACGCGCCTTTATGGGCGCGCTCACATTTCTTATGCAAACTGGTTGCCCCGCCACGACGGATAATGTCGTACGTAATAGCGTTAATTTATTATAGAGCGCGCCGATGGCGAGATAACGCGCCGTCTGTAAACATATTACGCAAATTTTCTGCATTGCTCGTCACGTGTCGCACTGTCAGATCGATCAATTCCGTTTTATAGAATTTGATTGTTCCACGCATTGAATATCGCAAATTATCATATTTCATGTATTTTTCTTAATTAGACTTATCTTTTCAATTGTTGTCTTCTTCATTTGTAGCTAATTTTATTAGGATTTTAGGAATCCCATTTCATTGTTTTAATACATTTTTAGCATAGATATATTTTGCTATTTCTAGATCTCTGGGTTTTCACACTCTTCCTTCAATTTTTATTTGATAAAGAATTACAATTTATTTTATGTTCGTATGCAACAATTTATTTTACATATGAATGTAGACGTATAACACTAATATAATCTTTGATTTACATTAATGATACATATAATTAAATACGAGTAGTAAAAAAATATGTTTCTTCACACTTAACAATTTTCTATTGAAAGCCGAAATATAATTGGCATGTATAACTTGCGGGCTTATGAAATATTTCATAAAGACGGCAGTTCCTAGAATAGATTCTTTGATTGTTCTAGGAAGTCATCTTAGCGAAACCTATTATAACAAGTAATTGCATTAGAGATTGTGAAAAGGATAGGATGGATCGGAAATGCCACAAATACCGTCATAAGCACCGTCGGTGGTGTCAGGTAACGGAGAAACGCAAAATTCCGATGGTGCGCAGCAAAGTATTAATAGGCTTCTGAGAAACGAATCGAAAGTAAAAGTAAATTAATCCTTATAAGATTAGGGGTATCCTCAGGATATAATAATAATCTGGATTTCGCGTTTAGATGTAGTCCTAAAAAGAGACTTATAAAATTACACATACGCAATTTTT